ATTGTCTTTCCCATACCCCCACCCAGAATGTAAGCTTCTCCATTTTATCCAACACTGCACCAATGGCCAGCCCATAGGCCCTCAATAAATAACCGTTGAATAGTGACTATTTCCTTCATGTCTATAAAACTTGAGCATCTACTACAGTGAGCAAAGTAAATACCCAAAAATTATATGACAAAATGTATAAGAGCTTCTCTCCATGAAGCTCAAAACAAGGTGTGTAAGCCATTCTAATTGCCTTAATTTAGAATTAAGACTCTTCCATTTTTAAATTTTGAAATAGGGTCTGGGCTGAGTCTTGCAGGCCAGGCTTGACCTGTGACCCTCCTGCCCCACAGCCTCATGAGTGGCCATGATAGTGAGTTGTTTTTAATGGAATCAGGGAAAGGCAAAGAAGAGAGAAGTATGTGAGAATTCTGTGAGTCAATGATGGAAAATTAATAAAATACAGATTTAGGATAAATGACCATGAACTAAAAACCTTCTGCAAACATTCCAGAAGCAGTTTTTTCCTAAAGTATAAAATAATAAACTGAATTTTGAGCCCAAATTACCATGCAAGTGTTCTCATGTGAAACAAAGAATGTGCCTGTTCTTTTTAGAGGCTTTAGACTCCATGTGGCATGGAATCTACTGTAAATGCTCACTGTAATCTGCACTGTCCAATACAACAGCCACTAGCCACATGTACCTATTATGTAGTTGTAATGTGGCCAACACAACCAGGAAAGGAATTCTTAAATTTTCCTTAATTTTGGTTATTTTAATTTTAATTAGCCACATAGGGCTACTGGCTACCCTACTGAGCAGCACAGCTACAGGGGGTTTGATATATAAGCTCCTTGACTGGGTCCTTGCCTGTTCTCTAGCTCCTCTTCTGCTCCTCTCCCTCCCCACAGAATCAACTCTTGCAAGGCCAAACTGCTGTTTCATACCTCCATGGCTCTGCAGACGCCAGCCCCTTTGCCTTAAATGCTCTCCCTATCCAACTGCAAATTTCATCATCAAAATCTCATTTAGATTTCGTTCCTTGGGACAACTTTCCCTAACCTCCCTATCTCAGCCCACTGCTGCCACAATCCACCATTGCCTCCTCTGTATTTCTCTGAATCCATTTCTGTTACTATTCTCATTATCCTGTAGCTGTAATTTGTTTTCTGTGACACCAAGGATTTACACTAATTTTGAAGGCAGGTCTTATTTATCCCTCCATCCTGGTCATGTGTGGGCCCAGCCATCATATAATAAATCATATAATACAATACATAGTATGTGTTTGCCGACAACATTATTCATTTTTGATCATGCATAATGTTCTATGAAAATAATTTTCTGAGAATTGACAACCACTTTATGGTTACTTGGGCCAATATTTATTAAAAGGCAAATCTTCATACTAATAAAAAGTTCTTAGAGCAATAGTTAAGGGTCTACTTAACTCAAACCCTATCAACATAGTAGTTCAGTAGAAACCAAGAATATAGATGTTCCCTAGCACACAATCCTACCAATAGCTCCTCCTTCTTTTTTAAAAATATTTTTTAGTTGTAGATAGACACAATACCTCTATTTATTTATCTTTAAGTGGTGCTGAGAATCGAACCCAGGGCCTCACACATGCTAGGCACATGCTCTGCCACTGAGCCACAACCCCAGGCCTAGCTGCTGCTTCTGATGTAAATCTCTTGGATTTCAGAAACTGATCTTGCCATTGATCTGTCCCCAGTGGCTAAGGTGACTTTTCAGGGAGACAGGGAAGAGGTTCAGAAGCAAAAAAAGAGGATCTCATTTAAGACTCTCCATGGTCATGGTCATGGGAATTTAAAATAATCTATCTTTGCTGCACCCCCCCCCATCCAATCCTACCTCCAAGAAGGAAATAATTAAAATCCTTTTTAACATGAAAAATAATGACTTTGGGTGATGTGTGTCCATCCAATGACATGTTATCCAAAAGGAATTGTGTGTTCTCCTAATTTCTTGACAAAGATTTTACTCAAGAAATCTTCCTAAAGGGTATCATCATGCATCTTTTGTAATGTTATCTGGCTCAATAGCCACACTTTTAAACTCATGATTTTCCAACTAATTTTTTATTTGGATTCCCACACAATTATTCCTATAGAGTCAGCTCTTGGTGAATACATTGCTGTAAGCCTTGTTTGTATAATTCCCAAATATCAAGCATGTGTTAAATATATCTTACAAATGTCTATTCTTCCTGCCCTCCAGGAAGGTACCGTTCAGTAATGCAAACAAGGAAGTACACAGTGAACAGATACATGCATGCTTGTGGGCACAGCAATAGCAGCAGGCATTGAAGAAAATGGATTTCAGGAAGAATATGAATCCAAAGGACCATATCTTCAAAGTAGATATAAATTTGACTTTTGTTTTATTAATTTGGCAGTTTCATTTTCTTTTTAAAATGCACAAATGGTACTTTTGAATGTAATGAATGATGATTTAATAAATGACTCAGGGCTGTACAATCATTTAGATAAATCTTACATTTTCCCATAATATTAGTAGATTTTAAATAATCTTTTTTCTGGTTTTCCTTTTCCCTTGCCCAAAACAGATCTCCCAGAATCTTAATAGAATGTGTTTCAAAAAGACAAAAGCCAAAGATATCTTCTGAGGATCCTGATGAATAATGTGAGATAAGATGTCCTAAATTCAAATATAGGGACATCAATTTCTTTTTTTAACTTCCTTATAAAATCTGCTCACCTAGGAAAAAAACACTGATTAAGTCTAAAAATTATGTTCTACATTTTATTGGAATTGCCAGTGTATTCTAATATAAAATGCACTTATTTCCAAAATGTATTATTGCTACTTGGAAAAGGCAGATCTGGTTTTCAAAGATGATGCTTTAAGGTTAAAAATGAAGATAGTGACCTCAAATCTCTCACAATTTGTAAGGCTGGCATGCCATCTATCTCAATAATACCTAACAAGAATGTCAAATGGACAGAAACAGCCATGGTAAGCAGGTGCTTGAAGCTGACAGTGATTGCTGTATTTGAGGTGATGGGAACAGCATTTCCATTAGTTCAAGTGAAATACAATGCCCTGCCAACCCTAGGTATCAGTGTATTCAATCCCCCTGCTGTGGGTGTCCATTTTCTGTTGCTGCAATTAAAAATCAGTTGATACAGAGTCAAAATGTTGTACATTCTTCCCCTATCCCTTTCCCTGTCACTGTGTTTCCAGCTTCACCGGAAGAACATGTCACTATGGTAACCAATCCCTCTGGTGCACAGACCAAGTCAACCTTTCTAGTCAGATTGCCAGGCAGAGTAACACAGAATCAGAGCCCTGGATGGACCCACCAGAAGCCTTGTCTCTAAGTGGAATTAACTCATGCCAGAAAGAAGGATATCTGTCTTGTTCTAGAAGGTGTTCAAGAATATCCTGCCAGTATTTGCCAGTCATTATTAACATGAATTCTCCCCATGTTTCAGCTAACTTCCTGCTATTTCCATTTTAAAGAAAGCAAAAAGAACAGATAAAATAACACTTAAGAAATCTGAAAACTGTCACCCGTTGTCAAAAACAACTCTACCTCCTTCCTCGTTTTCCTACTTTCTCAATCCAAGCCCAAGTTGCTCTCTTCTGAAATCCCTTAACATCCTGTACATCTTTATAAAGTTGTAGAGCTCCAAATGGGTCACCTGGCTCTAATAAGAACCTGGTCATGAAGCAGATAGGATATCTGTAGTATGAACACACCCGTAACTAAATCAGCTGAAATCCCTAGTCATTCTCAAGAAGCTACAAAGCAAACACCAAGATGGATTCTCTCTCTGAACCCACCTCACCTCCTAAATGTGAACTGGTCTCCTAGACTGTACCCGCTGTCTGTCTTTTTCAAATAATTGACTTTTTAAATTAATTTTTTCTAATGTTTCAACACTTTTGTAAATCAAAGAACATTGGTTCTTACAAATGCTATTTTAAAACATCAGTAACCTCAACAGCATTATGATAGGATACATTAAGAACTGCTTTATGTCCTGGGCTCAAAGCATCTTGCAAATAATAGCATCATTGTCACCTTAGTATCAATATTAGTAGTTGAAGTCAATGAAATATTGAGGAGGGGGCATGACTCACAAAATCTGCATATCTTCTCAGGCTGCAGCCCTGATATTTCTTCAGATCAATATTAACACACATCACATCCAAAGAATATTTCAGTGGGGTGATGGTACAGGATGGTTCATGACATATAAATCATACAAGATTTACAAGTTGCATCAAATAAGGAGAATTTTTCGTTTATGCTATCATGTTAATGTGTTGAATAAAATGTTATCATTAGCAAATGCAGCTTGTTTTCTGTTTTGGTGTACTTTGTATATTTTTCATGTAAGTCCTCTGAAAACCACATTTTTTTCTCTGAAATTCCAACTTTGGTATTACTTTTGTTGTGCTTATTAAACCCTGCTGATATTTATTGCACATAACTCACTTTTTTGTCAACCACTTTTTCAAAAGGAGAAATTTTTTTAGTTGTGACATGCTACTACCCGGCCAACAGGTTTTGAAATGCTACACACAAAGGTTGGTGATGTATTGATGTTTATATGACCAATGATTTTTCCCTCTGTTTTCCTTGTTTGGATCAGTTCGACATCTAAAAAATGAAGAATCCGAGTCTATTACACGGACAAAGCAGTCTTAGAAGAAGGGCTTCTTCAAAGAACAACGATATAGATTCCCTTCCCTCTCGGAGACTAATGAAGCGTTATCCTGGATAACAACCCTGGACCATGAGATTTCACGCGAGTCTGGACACACAAGAGCAAGACAAGAAGCCTCCACCGCTTTCCATTACCATCTATGGGAAGGTAAGTTCGGGCAATCGGAAGTGCAGACAGGCCTGGGTAAATGGACAGCTGGTGGCCGGGAGCAGAGGCCAGGGGCTGCAGGGCCTACCCAGAGGCGCCAGGCTCTCTGCAGCGCCACGCCTCGCGCCTCCCACTTACCTTTCCGAATGAGGGCAGCGATCTCCGGGTCGAAGCCCTGCCGGTGGCACTTCCTCCAGAGGCCCATGTTGGTGGAGTTGTACTGTCGGCTGCACTCGTCCGCGGGGCTCATGGCGAAGAGCTGCCGGCGATTCCGGGCCCGGAGGAGTTTGCCCTCCCAGCGGTCCAGGCGTGAGCGGCTGGCCCGGAGCGGCAAGTTGTTGTTGTTGTTGTAAATAAAGCCAGGGTCAACCCGGCGAGTATTGAAGGCCTTGCACCTGTCCCTGTGCTTCCTAGCGTCGGTCTCGTACCAGTGGTCGGAGCAGATGGCCACAGCCAGCATGCCCAGGGCGCAGAGCGCTAGCGAGAGGCCCGTGTAGAGCAGTAACCTTCCGGCAGCCATGCCTCCGCTTCGCGGCTACACCATGGGCATGATCCGCCGCAGCCTCGCCTTCCCTCCGCGCGCCCGGAACAAAGCGGCGGGCGGCCGAGCTGGGGGATGGGGACAAGAGGGGGACTCGCGCCGCGGCGCCCCCTCGGCCCCTGCCTACCGGTGCACGGCCCGGGGACTGCGGGGATGGGGGCGGGCAGCCTAAAAAGTTCTGATCCGGCGAGATTCCTGCGGGCTCCTGGGCATCCTCCGGAGCAGGTGCAGCCTCAAGCGGCGGCGAACTCCACACAGCCGCTTCCCGCCCCCTCCCCGCAGCGCAGAAAGCTACTGCTCCAAGGCGGCTGCCTAGGCGCTCAGCCGAGTTTCGGGCGCCACTGCCCTCGGCCGGGAAACTAAATGCCAAGTGTCCGCAACTGCGGTGGAGCTTGCTGGGATTTCTTTGTGCAACGTAGAGACCGGACCGACTCTCCTGATTTCTGGGGAAGATGAGGGTGGGTGCTGTCAAGAGGAGCCACTAGTCGACAGGATGAATTGAAACACCCCCGATGTGGCCGCCTGGCGAAGGAAACCTCCAGATGCCAAGGACAACTGTCCTGAGTCTCGCCCGGGTCTCTCTCTCTCAGGGACTCTCCCCCTTTCCGGTCCGTAAGCAAAGACCTGGGATGCGCACCCAGAAATGTTCTTCCTCTCTGGGTCGGGTCTTAAAAAAAAAAAAAAATCCGTTCCCTGGTCACCAGCAGCTCCCTTGTTCCTTCTGGCCCACGCGGGGCTCTCAGAAGCGGGCTTCCCACGGACGCACGGTCTCTGCCCACCTTTCCCCGCGAGCTCCCGTGTTGCCTGCCTCTGGCCTCGCCATTCAGGCGTCCCCTCCAGCGGACGGCGTGGACACCCGAGCGGCGTTACGGGACGAGTTCTGGCCTGGGGTTTGCGGAGACTGGGCGGTAGCTGACTGGAGCGGGGGGCGGGCTGCGCAGAGGAGGGCGCACAGCGCTGGGCGAGCAGCGCTGGGCGCTCGGAGCTCCGCGCACAGCGCCTTCAACACCATGGACAGGGTCGCGCAGTCGCTGCGCGCTGTCAGCCCCTCAGCTAGCCCCCGGGGCGTCTTGCTGCTCTCTACAGCGAGGGTTTCTCCTTGGAATGTCCACCGAATGCTTCCAGACCCTCCTCTGCCTCACTTCATCTGGCTTCCAGCATCCCCGGAGCGAGCTGCCCAGGTGCACAGAAATTGCTGCAGGCACGGAGGAAAACCTGGTCCCGGCTCCTCAAAACAACCCGCCCCCTTCTGCCACCTGAGCCCTGGTACTCTAGCACCGCGTCTGCTCTGTCCAACTAGGGTCAGCCGCTCTCAGATTGCACCATTTTCTTCGCAGCCCGCTCAGACGCCGACATGCCGGCTCACTCGCAAGCGTGCACAGAATCCAGTCCAAGCCTCGGCGTCCAGCAATCAGGCTCCAGACGCACGATGGTCGCGGAGGTGAATGGGGCGGGGGGTGGGGGAGGGAGGCTGGGTCGCTGGTCTTCCCCTCCCAGCTTCCTGCTCTAGCGGCTGCTGCTCCAAGGCCTCCCAGGCTCGGATCCCTGACTGCGCCCCGGGGGCTTGAGAAATAGCATCGCCCGGGTGTGGGCGCCGGAGGAAGCCGCTGCCGCGCTCGCTTGCTCGGGCGCCGGGCGCTGCAGCCTTGGCTAAAACCCACAGACGAGAACACGGAGCGCGCAGCCAAAAGCTAGTGATGTCATCCGTGCAACGTGAGCCTCATCTCTTATTTTTCTAGCCTTCTTAAAGATAAACTGCACCATTTCCCAGGCACGAAATGTCTAAGCCTTATTCTTTGACCAGGCAAGTCAATGGTGTCTAGGTAGGTATGTGCCCAACCACTTCCATATGTATGCACATATACATATGTGTGGCATGTAGCATGTTTACATGTATATTATAAATTTAGGGATGCTCTTTTGAACCATGGAAAATTCCTTCAAATCCAACACAGTTCTTTGAAGAAAAGACTGCCTATTGCAGAATCGGCTTTTATAGGAGCTGGGCAAGCTCCTGCGTCCAGGTTTCAATAGCTGGTTTGCCTTTGATCGTTGTCTTCTCCTGGGAAGCCACAGGCACTACCTTGCTAGCTACAGGCGTTTCCACCCAGAGCTGAGCAAAGAGTGACCGCCGGGTTCACCGCCCTGCCCCAGCCCAGCCCCAAGCTAGCGCCCCGAACCCCAACACACACACACACCTACACCTGCCCTCCTTCCTCGCAGGAAAAGAAAGAAGAAATTTGATCTGTACTTTCAAAACCAGAAAAAGAATTTTAATAAGAGGGGACGGTTAGAAAATATTTTGAAAATGTTGGGGGGCTTGTGCTTTGAGGGGAGGCAGGGTTAAAGGCAATCTCGATGCAGGGTGTGTCATTTTCTGAGAGTGACAGCTGGGTCTGGGTTCTGCAGGGGCACTGGGAGGTAATGCTGGACCCCAGACCTTGATCGGGTGGCCCTCAGGCAAGCCCGTTTCATCCCAACCCCCGCCCCCTTCTTCGCTCACGTGAGACCAAGCCGCAAAGGCTGGGAGCCTCCCTCCAGCTCCAGATACTGGGGTTTTCACTCTTAACGCTCACCATTCTTTTTCACACTCCAAAGCCAAGGTCCCGCACTGCCGAGTAAAGAGCTGTCCTGGGGGAAAGAGAGTGCCAGGCAGCCTGCTTTGCACAACGGGGATTGCAAGTCAAAATGAGCACACCTCCACCATATTCTTTTTGTCTTTTTTTTTTCCCCCTGCTCCCTGCATTTTAAAAATCGCGAACAAGGCGTTTCAGTGCCATCTAGTGGGGGAGGGGCGTGCCTTGCTTTTCGCTCCCGAATTCTGCAATCGGATTTACTGAAGGGACAGCAGAGCCTGAGGATGCTGCTGGGTTCTTGGGTGCCAGACACGTGCCCTGTGCCAGTCCTCACCCTTGAGGTTCCCTAGGATGTCACTGCAAAGCCAAGTGACTTTGGCCACAGTGTCTTCTCACCTTCCTTTCTATCTCCTCTTACCAATTCTTCCACCCACTGCCCTGGCCCTGAAAATAGTGAACCACAGCGCACACACTGGGAACACATGAGGCCATCGTAAATTTCTGAAGCTGTTTTCCTCCCTAAAGCCCAGAGCATTTTTAAGGTATGAGGGAACCTGCATACCATAACAGGAAAGAAGAAGAGGGGTGAAATGACACCTACAAGGTCACTTGGGAAATTCCACCCAGTCAGCATTACAACCTCAGTCTTCTGGTTCCCGACTCTCCCCGCATCCTTAGAACCAGCTTCTGAGACCTTCAGCAGGCAGGCCAGGCAGTGCCTACTCAGAGTAGGAATACCTGCTCATTTGTCACTGACTTTCCTCCCTCAGTGGTCAGTTCACCCTTTCTTGGTCTTGCTTTTTAACTTCCCTCTGGCCTGTACCTTAGGCCTGCTTCCAAGGATGTGCCTTGTGCTCTCACCCATGGATCTCAGCAGGCTTGTGTTTCAGTCTTTGCATGGAAAAGGGATCTAGAGGGACATTGCTCTCCTCTTTTCAAACATCACTAACATTCCAGTTTTTGTCCTTGGTGAAATCCTGAAAATCCTGTGGATGATGTTAATCGAGATCTCCTTTGAAGTGCAATTATTTGTGGCCAGCCTTATACCATTTGGGGATGATCTTGGTCTTTGGGGCTCAGAAGATGGTAGATCCTTCTGTTAGGAGATAGGGCACAGGGAAGGGACTGCCCTTTAGGACTCTCAGCCCCCTCCCCAAGGCCCTCAATCCCCATCCGATAATCTACCAAGCTCCTTCCTGACAAGGGAAACTGAGTCATCTGGAGGTAAAGGGAGGAAGCTAGAAGACCACAAGGGGAATTTCAGACCATGAAGAAAAAGTCCCCTATCTTCTGCATGCGCAATAGCCCAAGGGACTGACCTAAGTTAACTTGCAGCTACTTGACATTTAACTTATCATTAACACTGTGATTTGCTCCCCCTCTGTGCTTTGGGGGAGGGTTAATCATGTGTAATAGAGAAGAAATTGTGTTAAATTCAGCTATCATTCAATGTGCCAATCAACCCCACATCCACTCAGACGACAAGGGGGAGTACTAACACAGTCCAATAGTAGTGAGCTGTACTATGTGGACCTGGCCTTGAGCTACTCTGCAGCTCATCCCACTCTGCTCTCTCAGAGTGTTTTCTTTCAAGTTTACTCCATTCTTTGCTTGGGATGCCAAGAACCTGGACAGGGAAATCCCTGAGGAAGCTTGCCCTTGTGCTAGTAACACTTGCTCTATACTATAGGAATGCATGGTTCTTTTTTCAATTGACTGATCTAGGTTTCTGCCCTCTCTTTTCTTCCATTTCCTTCCACCCTGTTATTACAGCTTCACTGTCTCCATGTTTCTAAGCCATTCCTTCCCACTGACACCAACACTGTCCTAGATCATAAAATCTCAGAATCAGAAGAGACTTTGGAGTCTGCCATACAATAATGCATAATTCTCTCTCTGAACATTTCCCAAAAAGTGAATGGCCAGCTTCTGCTTGCATACTTGAAGAGATGAGAAATTCACTCTATCAGCAAGTGGCCCACTCCACTGTCAGACAGTGTGGATGGTAGTTAGATAGCTCTTCCTCATACTGAGCCTTATTCTAGGTCCCTGTAACTCCTACCCATTGACCTTATTTTTACTCTCAGATGACATTGATTCATCTTCCATAGAATATTCCTTCTGATACTTGACATTAGCCATCAAAGTCTTCTTTCCTCCATGTCAGATGCCCCTTGCTCATCGATGCCTTCTGCTAGCTTGTCTATGGTTTGTGATACCTCCTGTGGTCCTTTTAGTTAATACCTCCTCCATCTCAAGTCATGTGAATCCATGAAGAAGAAAATTTGATCAGTCTGTCTCATTTATACATGACCCATGTAGAGTTCTGATGATCCTGTCTTCCTCTTCTGGAAGCCCACAGTCATGCCCTTTGAATGCATCTTAGAATCTTGTCCCAAAATG